ATTACTTTCATCTCTTGTTTCCCAAAAACCTAAATAAAATATTGAATAGTTATTTTTTTTATTCGTTCATTCATTTACTAACTTTGATATGTTCCTGTTGATGGTTTTATCATCTCAGTAACAAATTGAGATTCTGGTAATGCCCAACCTTCTTCATCATCCTTTGAATGAATAATTAAAAACAAGTTTTTTTTTGAATAAATTTTTTTAAATCTACTTACTCCTTTCTTTTTTTTCTTGCCTTTTTTACCTTTCTTTCCTAAAAAAAAGTCATTAAATATTCTAAAAAAATATAAATAAAATACTTCTACCTTTCTTTTCTTTCTTGCCTTTCTTTCCTTTTTTGCCTGGAAAAAAGCAAACGAACCAAATAAATATAAATAATATTTAGAATAAATTAACCTTTTTTATCTCCTTTTCCTTTGCCTTTACTTTCGAGTTTCTACAAAAAATAAATAATTAATATCAAATTAAAATATCTAAAAATTAAATCGTACAGCATCAAGGTCTTCTTGTATTTCTTCAACAGTCTTTTTTTCAAAAATCTTATTTGAACCACCATCGTCTTCATCGGGAAAATCGGGAAATTTTTGTGAAACATTTCTGCAAAAAGAAAGAACTACTTTGCTATTTTATAATTGAATATATAGTAAATTTCTACCTGCATTCAATAAACCATTGACGAATTTGGTCTTGTAAACGTTCTTTCATATCCGGTCCTTCAGTTTGTTTGATTTTTTCACGTGTTGCTATTAATGCTTGTTGATAAGCTATTTCATGTTTTTCTTGTCGTTTTCGTCTTTCATCTTCATGTGCTCGTACATCGGCAAGTAAACGTTTTAATGGATCTTTATGAAATGTTGGCATTGCCTAAAAAATATTGAACATTTTAAGTTTTTAATTTCATACAAGGAAAAATTTTTGCATATTGATAAGAAGAAAAATGCAAAGAAGAATCTAAGATTTATTGATAGTCTTCATTGAAATATTCTACGTAATGATTTAATGATCTTGCAGCAACATAGAAGTCAAACGTTTTAGTTTAAAATTATATTTCGATCAATGATGTTACGGTTTATATGTGATGTACAAATGAAATCGAAAGATTTTATTTTTTATATTTGTTCGCGATGAAATTTTCTATAAAGTGATGAAAGTAACAAGAATTTGTTAGATATAAAAATCATCATCAACTCCGGTGAAAAACATTGTTTCATGTATTTCTGTTTTCGAGAAGCCTTGACTGTTTTCCACACATGAAATTTTATATAAAATGTAGTAATGGAACACATTTTAAAATAACTATGACTCACGAACGAACTACTTCAACTGATATCTACCATTAGAGTTCATAATGAGCCCCTAAGAAAGTCACAGCAAGACTAGAGAAATCCTACAAAGTTTGTGTCCACAGGTCCCTGGAGTCGGATTATGACTGTTTTACTTGAACTTTCGATCTAACTTCAAGTACTTACAGAAAAGTCAAATAATACCATTTCGACCTAAACTTCCACCCACAGACAGATTCAATGACCGGTAAAATATCCTAAAATTTTCAGCCGAAAAGAATGCTTCATCGTCAAGATATTAAGTTTTCAAGTATACTCCATTTTTGTGGCTCAAAGTTTCAGGATATTCTCACAGTCATCAGACCTATCTATATATGAGCACAAACAGTGAATATTGGTTCGGGTTATTTTCTTGTCAATAGCAAAAAATTCTTCGATTAAATGCTCCTCGATAAAATATGAAGTACTCTTTCAACGAGATCATTTCATGAGAACTAAAGTGATACGCAACTATTACAGTCCTAGTTTGCACAAAAGAAAATAGCGGCTTTCTCGCAGTCCTTAGTTTATGTCTTGGAACAGCTCCAAATCAAAACAAAATTTAATCTCTGTGTTCCCACCCTCGAGCTAGTTTCTATGGAGATCAGCATTGGTCGAAAACTACTTTTCAAAACCTGTCATGTAAAATCAAATAGCATGCTTTGTAGAACAAACAAAACAAAACTATTAAAAACTGGTTCGTATTTTGAATTTGATATGTTTCAATCGAAATGTAATATTTACCAATATAATATTCTTTACAATCACTATCTTGAAACAATCTGATGATAACTGTTCAATCATGCTCTTCCAGAAGGACATTCTGCATACATATTCAGACAGCAAAAACTCTGATTCCAACTAACTGTTTCCCGGCTCTAACAAATTATCTATCATTAGTTAAAAAATGAGTGAATGTTTTGTACTAAGACTTTCACACCATAGATTATATTTTGAATTATTATTGAATACTGAACAAAATGGAGTATGCTGATTATCAAAATTTCAGTTTTGATTTTTCGCGAAAATTCTATTGCTGTAGTTGTAGTGAAAAATATAAAATGTGGTACAGCATTCGACACTGACGACGAATATATTGATGACTTTTATTTCGACATAAATAGTGATTTTCGGCAAAAGATGCAATTCCCTAACGAACAGTATTTTTTTTAAATAACTCAACTACAACTACAGAAAAACGAATAAAATTTGTATTTAAGTATTAAATTTTTCTATAAAATATTTTCCTTTTTCTTCGTATAAATATTTCGTTTTATTGATTTATGTTTTCTATCAATTAAATTATTTTGAAAAAAAGAAATATTGAAAAATAAAACAAATATTACCATTCCTAAAAACATATATTCTTCTTCTCGAAATTTTTTTACTTCACGTCGTACAACATAACGACGATAATATTTTTGAATGATTGTTGCTGCTAATACTTTATCCATTTTTGATTCTCCCATATTTGCACGTTGTCGTGCACGTTGATCATTCAGACGTAATTCACCTATTTGTTTAGCCCGTAATCGTCCTTGACGAGCTCGTTCATGTGATTGAATTATTCGAATAGCATCATCCATTGTCATGATTCCCGTCGTCTCTTGAGTTTCAGTATCTAATGTCATTCGAGCTAAAATTTGACCAAGAAGACGTTCACGTTTTTCAATTGCTTGTGCACGTTCAAGTACAAAATAATTTGGAATTGGAATTTCAAGATCATTCTAAAAAAAACAATTAGCTCGGTTTAATCTTATTCATGCTCTTCAAACGATGAGCCTTGTATTTTTCTTCTAATTGTATGAGTAAAACAAAATTTCAAAAATATATGAGCATTTATAGTTGTCTCAGAAAGAAAGATTTATATTATTATAGATATTTAGAGTGTTTCATTGGAATTCAAATAAGAATTGATTCAGTGAATTCAATCTTGAATAGTCATATAGAGAAATCATTTAGTAAAAACTAGATATTCATTGAGTAGCATCCACGAAGGAAGTATCCTAACTTAATTATAGCCTATTGCTCAAAAGTTAGAAATGTCGGACGAATGAAGGAACTACTCAAATCTGCAAGTCGCTATTTCAGCTTATATTAAGTCCATAGGAATGTCTTAGAAAGACTGGGAAAATTTTTAAATGGTTTGCTCCCTTGGACTTCTGGAGTCGAATTATAAGCATTTTATTGAATTTTTACGCATAGATAAATCTAACGATCCTTAGAATACTATAGAAATTTAAGCCAAAAAGAATGCTCTTTTGTCAAGATATTAAATTTCTAAAAAGATGGTCGTTTGTCATAACAATCAAGTTTATTTCAAAATTCAATATCTCAATAAAAAGATACAATCATTTCACAGAAAAATTTCAGATCGAAAATTTAGCACAACGACTATAATTCGACCTCCAAAGACTTATAGGAACGAACTCTTGTAAATTTTTCCGAGATTTTCTTGTAGATTCAATTTGAGTTCCAACAGCAAGTCATTGTGAGATAAAATGAAAACTATACCGGAGTATTAATTCGTCCCGACTATATGTTTCCGAAGTATTCAATCCGGGGACATCAGTAATTTCATAATGAAAATTTGTACTTTCTTTTTTCACAACATTTGAACAAAGCTTCTTATTCGATAATATTTTTTAAAAACACTTTTATTGAAGACTTTTTTTTATCGTTTTAAATATTCACAAAATTTATCTCTCGATTATAATCTTAATGATATTTTTGTTTGCATTTCATTATTCAAATATGTTTTCTTAATGAATAATTAACTAACCGGTGTTAATTTAAGATCGGCAAGAATATCATCAAAATAATGATATTCTGAATAATCCATACTAATCATTTCATGTTTTAATTCAATTATTCTTCCCATACAACCATCAAGAACAATACGTATTAATCGTCGTTTTTGTGGATGTACTATTTGATCATAACATTGTTCTAATTTTCGAAATATTTGTACATATTTCACAAACATAGTTGCAACTAATTGAAATGCTGCATTTATATCCTAAGAAATAAAACAAAATAAAAAATCACTATTATCAATAAAATATTATTAACATACGTTTTCTGGTCCTCGTGGCTGCTCGGGTGTTTCGATAGCCAACATGTCGACCATGGCAATTTGTGCATCTTGCCATTGCTTATTATACGAACTAAAATAAAATGATCTTAAGATTTTTAATTTTAAAATGAAAACAAAACGTTTACATATGCGACATTGTGTTTATGCCGTTAATTTCGATTATAACTGCAATGTATACGCTGTATGCGTCATTTTCTATATTGTTTCTATAGTAACAAAACCTTTACAACGATGTGTAAAATGCATAAATGTGTTTTATATATTTTTTTTTCGAATGGAAAAGAAAAAAAAATAAAATAGTGAATCAATGATGAAACACAACGTTGGAAAAGTAATATAAATTTTCTTCATTTTTTTTTTGTTGAAAGACATTTACCTTGCTTGTTTCGATATAAATACAACAACAACAAAAAATATGATAAGAAGAAAAATCCTTGTTAATAAATTTTCATATTGACTCGATTAATTTTTTGTCATTAAATAAAATTTTGCAAGTTTGTGTGTGTGTGTGAATACGCGCGTTTATTTGGTTTCGTATTTTACGATCCAAATGTACATGTTTTTGGGTATCGGCAATGTATGATAGTAAACATAGAACAGCAGATACACAGATTTATGAAAACCGGAAAGACGGTAGCGGTTATTCCGTAAGATAAATTGTAAAGATAATTTTATTAAATTTTTCATCTATTATAATTTTAGTCGAATAAACGAGAGTGGAATTTACAAACGCATGGATTTAATGATGAAACATCAAATCATCGAAAATATATGCGAACTCAATGTAAATGAATTTTTATGTTGAAAAGCAAAAAACGATTTATAATTTTTTTCTCTAATTTAGTTTCTTCAAATAATCGAGTTGCATCAAGTTCATCATCAAATCAGCAACAACAACAGCCACGTGAAAATGGTGAAAAAAAGACTGTTAAAGATGTACGTTTAATTATATTAATAAAGTTCTTTTTAATAAGATTTTATCTAGACGAAAAAACCGCTTCGTGTATCCGGTGATTGGTCTGAATTTAAAAGTTCAACAGGTTTGTATCAATTAGGAATGGGGATGTTTAGTATATCGAAATATAGCTTCTTTTAATAGCTGAGTATTTAGAGCTCGTCGGGTACAAAATTTTCCGATCCAGACCAATCCGAAAGATTCCCAGGCGTGTTCTAATACTTCAGTGAACACTGATGAGAGAACTTTTCCATGTGCTAAAAAGCTTTTGAACTGAAATTTTGTATAGAGTAGAGAAAGTCTAAGTGGATATGAAAGCAAGTTACGATTTGATTGAGATACCGATATTTTACTATAATTTTCATGTAGGACTCAAATTTTGCGGTAGAAGTAAAGTTTTCGAATATTTTAACGAATCATCTACGAGATATATAGTTTCCGACATATCCATGAAAAAGTATCTTTTTACCTTGTCCAAACGTAACGTTGTTATGTTTTTCTGATTGTCTCGAGAACTACGAGAGCTAGAAATTTCACTCGATGCAATTCATCATACTTTATTGATACAATGAAAAACGGAATTTTTTACTTGAAGTTTCCAATTTCGAGAAAGATTTCTTCATCGTGTAGCGCTGTGACATAGAAATACTTTAAATTTTTAGTTCTCTTGTTTAAGTTCGAGTTTTACTATGAAACTTGTTCTTCGAATGAAATATCTTTAGAAAGAATTTGGTAGAACATTGAATGAACTTTTCCAAAGCAAAACTCGAGTAAGAAAATCAAGAAACAAATGTAACAATGTTAAACTTTTTTTTGCGATACTGAATCTGATTTTACAACTTTCGATTTTTGAAGAATAGCATTGAATGTCAACTACTTGCTTATAAGAAAAGAAACTAGCCAAAATGTTTCTAGTTCAAGAGTATTAGCAGAAAACTTTGAACGTTGAATTATATACAGACGACGTTGATTGATTTCAAACTGCAGAAAAAATAATATGCCATTTTGTAGAGAGAGTTAAATTCTTTATCAAATGATAAATTTTTAAAAGGTTTAAAACCAAGTTTTTGAAAACAAAGAGTATATTCGTAATCAGCGCAAAAAACTGCATCTATTGATGTGATCAAATCGATTGTAGAATAAAAGAAATTTTCAAAAACTTGATCATTGAAGTGTCATTTGACATGAACAAGCCGCTTTACGTTAAGATACAATTTTCGACGCCAAAATTTAAGATAAATCAATGTCTGTTGAATAACTTTTGATAGGAATATGATAAAGACCTGTGACTTCCATCATTCTAGAAAGAAAATCTAGGGCCTGCAAAGTATATCGAAATTCAATTTGTTATCGATTAATCAATGAGATAATCGGGAAAATTCTTGTCTTTCGATCTGCACAAGGTCGATATTTCTGGTCTGTTCCGTTCGTGAGTGAGTGATAAGGCTTTTTATGAAACCCCTGATTTCAGTCAATTGATATGTAATCATCATCAAGCAGCTGGTAGTGATAATTTATCATGCTGAATCGAATGGTGGTATTTATTTTTAGCTTCCAACTGATCTCACACTGTTATTGGAATATTTCCGAAATGTCAACTCGTTTGTTACATATGAAGACTGAATGTGAAATTTCAGAAATATTGAGATAATAGTGTCAGATCAATTCGAATCTAAGAACAAATATCATCATTCGACTCAGCATGATGAATTATCCATGTCTAGATGATTTTTCGGATGATCACAAGTTAACTGGCTGAAATCAGAGGTCTCAGGAAAAGTCTTCTAACTCTCCAACGGAACAAGCCAGTAATATCAGCTTTGCATACATCGAAAGAGAAGAATTTTTTCTAGTACCCCATTGATCAATTGACGATCAATCAAATTTCTATATGCTTCGAATATTTTCCTTTGAATAGTAAAATCTATCTTATATTTTGCCATCGATTATAGTACATTTAAAAATAAAATAATTGTAAAATGTCGCTTTCTTAGCTAAATCGTAATTTGTGAATCAGTGGTGAATGAATTGAAGCTGCAAGTTTCTAATTATGAAAATATAGAAAAATTCAAAATCTTTTTTTGTTTCTATTTTTAGGCAAAACATATTTTTATAATTCTAAAACCGAAATATCACAATGGGAAAAACCAAAAGGATGGCCAACAGATGAATCAAATCGAACAAGTACATCATCATCAGTTTCTACAACAAATCGAATTAAAAAAGGTTTTTATTTTTTTTTAATAAGAAAATCTTGTTTTTTTTTTGTTTTCACTTCATCTGAAAATTTCTTTTAAATTTTTTAAAAGAATCAACACCAAATGTTTCATCCACAGTTCGTACTCGATATAAGATAGAAGAATTATCTTCCGGAACAAAACTCTCCCAAAGTCCAAATCTTAAATTACCTTCAGAAAATTCGAATAATTATCATAATGGAAATCATACATTTCAAGAATCTTTACAGTCTAATGAACAATTATCTACTAATCCCAACAATCGTCTCCCAACTCCAGGTTTATTATACGAAAAAAGAATTAAATATGTAAACTTCTTTTTTTTTAAATTTTTATTCCCTAGATGATGATAATTCTCGAATGTCATTTTCATCAAATAGTAGTAAAGAGTCATCGTTATTAATATCTGGCACTAATAACACAAATGAAAGTAATGGTACTGTTTTACATTCATCTTTTTCAGAATCCGGTAAAATGAATATCATCATTTAAATGTTGTAATTAAAGAGTTTTTTAAAAGCTATTTCAGTTTCGACTCCACTATGTGATATTCAATCGAAATCTTTGGAAAATAATACAAAATTTGTAAATGGTAAAAAAAAAATTTCAGTTAAGTTTTATAAATTATCTTTATTATTTAGGAAATGATAACAAAAATTCAATATCACAATCAACTATTTCTACTTTAACAAACACAGAGTCTAATCCGGCGTATGTTATTAAAAATTTTTGAAAACCTAGATTGTTTTCAATTATGAAATACAAAAGATTATAAATAGAAATATGATCGTATGTAATCGTGACTAGTAAGCTCTGTTCTACTCTAAAGACGACAGAATAAACAATGGTATAACTGTTATTTCTTCTTATCTATTTATAATATCATAATTTATGTATGAGAAAAAGATTTTTACAGATGAAGAATCTGACACTACACTTTTAGTTCAAATTCAATGACCTATTTATCATAGAGTGCATTAAAAAGATTCCCAATGAAATAATCGAAAGAAATTTCAATACTTTTTCAAGGCGGGTGTAGTATAAGAAAAACATTTTTCTACAAAAAAAACAAAAACAAAGATTAGCCAAACAGAATCTTGTTTTTTTTTTCTATGAGTAATAATAAACTGATGATTACTTAGTAGAAATGTCAAGCATATTATAAAATAATTTTTATGAATATGTCTTTATTAAATGTATAAGTAGATTTTTTGAAATAAAAAAAAAAATTATTTGTAACTATATGTGTTGACTTCCTTTATTTTTATGAATACTAATACTCACTTAAGCATGTTCTTGTCTTTGTTAAAAGGAATAAATTCTAATTAGTTTTTGAAAAACTTTATTTACAATTTTTTCGATAAATTTGTGAATTCCTGCGTCAAAAATAGTATTATGTCGATTAGCTATATCAGCGGTGAATCTAGGGCTTTACAAAAAGACGATGATTATGATCACAAAACGTGTTTTAAAGTTTGTTAGAGGTCATGTCGGTTCATTTTCTAGTTTTTTTTTTGTTGTTGAGAAAAATCGAAAAATGTTTCAAAAGGGAGGCGCGATTGTCCCTGTATTTCGGCTCTTTATCTACTTCTGGCAGCTGTAAGTCGATACTAAGATCAATAATGGTTCCAGCTAGAAACTTTTTACAATAGAAAAAGATAAGAATAATGATAGAAAATAAAGTCTTTGAAAAATAATTTCGTCACTCAACATTTGTATCTCATTTTTCTGTGTTAGAAAGACAGTATTTAAGTCGATTGGTCTATACCTCTATTTATAACATTTGATAATCATCATTTCTGTCAAGTCTTCAATTATAACTTGATCAGTTTTGATCATTCGATCCGATCATATTACCATACTTAATAATACACGATTAATAAGTATCAAGATCGGCTGGCTCCGACGGATTTTTTAGGTACTACAAATATAAGTATCTTTAATGCTTTCTGACTTGTTATTATTATTTAAATATCTATTCATAAATTGAATTTAATCGAGCATTTTTTTTTCTTCTGTTCAATTAAAATTTGGATTTAAAAGTTTCAATTACACTCAAAGTTTTTTTTTCCTTAAGTACTGAAAGTGAATCGTTTATACCGACTATTTCAAAAGCTGAACGTGAACAAGATTTTCAAAAATTTTATCGTGCTGAACTTATTCAACATTTAACTGGTTGGTCATCAACTCAATTAGAAAAACAGGTTGGCAAAATAAAAAAAAAAAAACATAATTTTATTCTTCATATAAAATCATATTTATAATTTTAGTGTTTTAAACTTTTTGATGATTATTATGGATACAGTGCTAAAATGTCGACAGCATTTACTGAATTAAAAGCATTAAAGTCTAACTTTCGCATACTTGAGATCAAAAGAAATATTTTAACTCGACGGTAAATAATTATCATATAAATATTTTTTTTTATTTTTTTAATTATTGTTGCAGACTTCTCAGCTGTCAAAAACACATCAAACAAGGAGAAGAAGATAAACATTTGTAATAAAAATATTCTTTTCTTTTGTTGTTGTTGTTGTTTTTCTTTTAAATATTTTGCCATGCCGATTAATTTCTATTCTCTTCTTCATGTCACCTAGCAGCAATGTGCATTAGGCATGCACATTAAAGTTAAAAAATCTTAATGAAGAAGAAGAAGAAGAGAATAAGTAAATTTGTTCCTCTTTTTTTCTTTCTCTGTGTCAGATAATACTTAACATTAACATTTTCTGGCTTATTTTTGTAATTCAGCTGCTTGGTGATGATCGAATTCTCTTTTTTTTTCCTTTTGCTGTTTCTGTTTATTTTTTCTTTTTTGTTTCTCTTTCCACAATAAACTTGGTCCTTTACTCTTCTATATTGATGTGCTCTTCGTATTGTACTATTGTGTATTTTTTGGTTTGTTGTTTTTTTTTCCTCATTTTGAAAAAGTTACATATTATACATATATATATATACATTTGAAAATATGATACTTGTGTAGAAAAAATACTGAGATGATGTAAAAAAAAGGCAGTTGTGTTTTTCATTTTGATTGAATTAGAATGAAAAAATGTATTTTTATTTCTTTTAGACGTCTTTTTGTTCTTTAATGGGATAAAACATAGATATTATAGGTTTGTTTTGTATTACAGCTTTGTTATAATAATTGTACAATGAAAAAGAAAATCTCTTGGCTATTTCACGAGTAAAACGTCAGTTTGCTTGTTTGTGTGAGATTTGTATTAAAAGAGAATAAAGGATTAAATATTTTATCAAACGATTTTTTTTTGTTCCAAAAAGAGAAGTTCAATAGCACATGAATTTAAATTTTTATACTAATTGAGTGATTTGGCACGTGAATTTTTAATGATGTGACTAAATATTTTGAACTTATAGTTTTCTTCTAAACGGAACTCATGAAAACAATTAGCTTCATGGTTATTGTGTTTTCCTGTTTCACTTTAACTTTTCTAAAAATAATTCTCAGTTCTATGCTTTATGTTTGGCTAATCAAGTAAGATAAAGATAAATAATGCTGTTGTCATATTAAAAAGATTTACAATATTACTCATGAATTTGAACTTTCTATGAATATACAAAGTATAGAACATAATGCTATCAAAAGCACTTAGAGTCATTAAGAGCGTTTTTTAAAAATTTTTTAAAACATATTTGAAAGACATATTTTCTATTATTTAAATGCGTTATTATTCATTACCATCATTCAGCCGTCAAAATTAATTAGTTTTAAAACCATAGGAAAATTCTACGCAGTTGTTCAAGTCTTTAAGTTCTAAAAGTATCTGCTTTTTTCTTATTAGAAATGTTGCTTAAGAGTATATATTTATAATCTAATCTCATCAAGTTATCTTTTTTTCTCTTTTTATATTAATAATTCTTGCTTATTTTATGCTTATCCAAATTTCCGGCAAAAAGATCGAAAAAATACTCTGAAGTAATAAGAATTCGGCAAGACTATAGTATAAAAATATATCTTGTTTTTTAGAAGTATTTTGAATCTCAGAAAAAAAAAACATATTATACAGGAAATATGTGCTTAGAATATTTCATCATTTGATAGGATATTTTCAAAACAAAAAAAACACATAAAAAAGGAAATTTATGATTTAATAAAATTCATTTCATAGAATAAGTAACATTGGCTTCTGTAGTGTTGTTTTTGATTTTAAAATTGAAGTGCTTTTTTTCACATCATCTAAATAAGACGACGGAATAGACGTACAAATCAGAATTTCGTTTTTTATCAATTTATAATAAATAAATTATTAGAAAATCAATAAGACGAAATTGTATTTCGTAGTCATTTGTCTTTATAGAATATCTATATCAAAATATGTTAATTTCAATGAAAAGAAAGGGTAAGAAGTGCTTTGAATAATTCATCTTTTTATGGTTGAAAAACAACCTACGTATCTCAAATATCTTTGATTAATAATAGAAAAGTAAACTGTAGTAAGTAAAGAGAAAAAACATGCATTCTATTTCAAGAAATAAAAACATCTTTGACGTTGAAATTTACAAAGAGCATTTTTAACAAATTAAAATGAATTTCTTTTCCTTTCCTTTAGTTTTTGAAGGTAACAATATATTTTTTTGGTTTTTTTTCGATAATACTAATCATTAAAAGAAACGATTTGTACGATAACTGATAGAATAGTTTAAAAAGCAAATAGAATTATATGAGTTTGTTGATTTTGTAGAATCTTTTATTTTAAATAGTCTTTCCCTATGATTTCATTTGATCAATATTTATTATTATGAAAATAGGTTTTTTTCTTAAAGCTTATTATTAGGGTAATTATGAAAATGATATCGATAATTCCCGTGCTTCTCGTATATATCTAATTATATTTATGTGAAAGAAAAAATATTTTTTTTTTCTATAGGCTAAGATCAAAAGTTTATTTTTTTCTCTCTGTAAGATAAAAAAAAGCCGGTTTTTTATTCTATCTTGACTAACGAATGGAGATGAAGAAAAATTCATTTTACTCGTCTAGTGAGTTTTTAAACATGTATGGTTTTCAACATCAATGTACCATTTTTGCGCTTAAGTGTCAACTGGTTCATAATGTGTTTAACAGAATCTTATGACCTATATCTTCCATTTTTTTCTTTTTTTTTTCTTTTTGTTGTAGACGGGTTGGAGCAGTGACGTAGGTTTCTCACACATGCACAGTCATTCTTTTCTTTCTGTAATGTAGTCGGTGCACCAAGCGCCCCTCTAAGTGGTTGTCGCGTTTTTTTTTCTTTCTTTTATTTAAAACGACGCAAACCTAAAAGAACCGCTTTCATAGAACTACAACTATATTGTTATTTCTTGAGTATTTTCTTCATATAGAAATATATATTATTTATTTTAGAATATAACATTGCATTATTTAAAAAAAAACACGACAATTGTAACTATTGTATTAATAAGGTGAGTTTTAATGTTTTATCATTATTTGAAATACGTGAGAGACATAGATAAAGGTTATATAAAATAAGAAATAAAGTCACGACGGATTTTATGCTTGGGTACTCTTACATTAGTCGAAGTCACATAACGTTATTGTAATTTTTAATACACACACACAAAAGGAATAAACAATTAATGCACTCGTGACACATTTCAGTCATCACATAGAGATATTATTATTGTTGATTTTATCGTAGTTTGCATTTTTTATAGATTAACTTGGATGAATTAACGAATTTTCATTGAGAAAAACAATGCATAGACTAATGAATGAAGGTAAATATAGTAGAAATTAATATTTTGTAATATTTTAATTTTTTTTTGTCAATTTTTAGTAACAAATGAAACAAATAATGCTACATCAACAACCCACAATAAGCAACCTGGTATTGTACGAAAACGAAAGCTTCGTCGTGTTAAATCATTAATTAGATCATCTATTGATAAATTAACAAATGAAAAACAAATAGAACAGATTAGTAAAACAATATCAACAAATTCATCTGTTGATAAACGACCTTTTCCTTTTGGACATTGGTAAAAATTTATTTTATTTTAGTCGTTTTTTTTAGCTATTTTTATATTTATAGTCGTGTTTGTGCGGATAAAGCTACTGGTGCTCATTATGGTGTGCCAACCTGTGAAGGATGCAAAGTAATTTTAATTTTTAACAGATGCTTACTTATTATTTATAAGCTAATTAGATATAAATAGATGTCTACTCTTTTGATTTTCTTTTCAATGAAAATGATATATCTTAAAGATTCTTTATGATCTATGATATAAATATATCAGTCAGAAGCAAAGATTATTTTCAAAAACTTATATTTATTTATTTATGTTTTAGTAAATAAATTAACACGAATATATATTTGTTTATTTTAGGGTTTCTTCAAACGAAGTATATTGCGAAAAGAAAAATACCGATGTTATTTTGGTGATAAATGCACTATTAATAGTGACAACCGTAACAGATGCAAATCATGTCGTTTTCAAAAATGTCTTAAAGAAGGAATGTCCGTCGAAGGTTTGTCTCATATATGTAATTGAAATTTTCAAATAAGTAAAAACATAAAATAATCTAGTTTCATAAAAATGATAAACAATTTTTTTTTTCACAAATTTATCTTATTATGAATCTAGTTCGTTTCGAATATTTATTTTAGGCGTTCGAATGGGTCGAATACCTAAATTAATCAAAGAAAAAGCCTTAGCTGAGCATGTATCATCAACTATAGAAAATGAAGATCCAACTCAATTATCACCAGCACGTGTTCCATCAATAAATATAAATTCACATAATCCTATATCAACATCAACGACAGTTGATTTTAATTTACCATTAATTGATGAACATTTATTTTTTGCTGAATTAGATAGTATACCGAATGATGATCAATTTAAATGTCATACACCACCACGAATAACATCAAAAACATTATCATCACCATGTCATAATTATGAATTACCAGATAATTTTACAATCGATGAAACAAAACAACGAGATGATAAAGAAGATGACAATCGTATTGTAAAATTAAATCATTTAGCTTTAAGTAATTATATGACAAATTGTGAAGAACGTTTTGCAAATAATGTTATTGAACGTATGAAAAATGTTGTGAAAAAAATATCACATCCAACAACATGTACACAACTTGATTATGATGAATCATCATTTATTCGATATCTTCGATGGAAAATGTTTGATTTAAGTAATACGTATAATGGACGTACAAGACAATTAATTGAACGAATGAATAGTATGATTCATCTTGGGGTAATGATATAGAATATTATTACTTTCTTTTATACTTTAATTTGTTTTTGGCTTATTAGATTAATGATTTTCCTGGAAATTCTTCATCACTTCAAGATATATGGGCCGGACTCACAGGTTTATTTCAATAAAATCTCTTTTCTTTTCTTTCTTATATATAT